ACTGCAGTATTATTATGCGTAAAATACATTCGGTTCCCAAGAAGCTTGATTTTCTTCTGGGCTACGTGTGCTTCTCTATGTGGACAATTCGAAGTAAAATGGCCTGGTTCATCACAGTACCAACAGCCATCTGAAGTCATTTTATAACTCGCCACTTTGCTTTGTGGGTTACTGATATTCGGCTGTTGGTGAACTAAAGTCTCTAAGAGTTTCTTCATTTCGATCTGCGTGTTTTGTACCATATTACGAAGTTCTGAATTCTGTTTTTGATCTACTTTAATTTGATCAAGGAACGTTGCAGTAATACTTCGCAATTCTTCGAATTCATCGTGCTCCGTTTTAATTTCCCGTTCGCGCGCTTGAACTGATCTACCAGTCGATACAGCTCTCGCGTTGCTTGGGTGGTCTTGGGAGTCTCCAGTAAGACGTCCAGCGATGGTTTCTGCCATGTCTATAATGTCTATGATATCGTATGGATCTTCAGTTCTTCTAGCAGTGGTCTCATCCTCGTTGCCTTTCTGTTTTCGGTCTCTAGTTTGTTCAACATTCAAACTGGCCTTAACTTGATCAGCAAAGGAATCTGTCAGACAGCCTAAGAACATGTCAACTAGCTCTCGGTTGCTCACCAGTACTGGCGGCGCCATGAGTAATTTTTGTTGTGCCCTAAAACTTCGAGTTAAAATTTTCAACTCTGTCAAGTTCTTTTCTGCTAGCCGACTGTTTTCTCTACATACAGCTCTTAGTCCAGTTAAAGTCCCTTTTCCTGCATTTCGCGCATCAGGGTAATCTGCTATTAGAGCCTTTTTAAACTCGTCAAAGGAGCCGTCTTCGAATGTTTTAAATGCTTTCCATTCGAATTCAGTCCGTTGATCCGTATATTTTCCTAATTTCTTCTTTTTCTCCACGTCACTATTAATACCATATTCTGCGAAAAGATCTTCCATTTGGTCTAAGAAACGTAGAAGCTCAATTGGTTTCTCTTTATCGAAGAACGGGGCTCCCTTATTACCAGGTAATGGCATGGTTCTGTGTGAAGACCGACCTGTAGGGGCCGGTTCTTCTATGCTTGAACTCGATGGGTCAGGCATGATTATTGGGTTTCTTCTGGCTTTTGAGTTCGAAGATTTTGGTTCAGATTGACGAACCGCTTTCGCAGGTCGACTAGGTATAGGTTTTGGAGGTACTTCTTTTCTTAACGGGTAACGTTGTACGACTGGCTCAGCAGCGCGTTTGGGTTTCCGTGTAGGAGGTAAGGGTACTTGTGGACCTTCTCTAGCTCTTTTAGATGTGGCTGTTTCTCTGATTTTTATGGCTGCCGTTGTAAACGACTTTTGATGCTAGTTCTTGGTATTAGAAACTAGGCTTGGTTTTTTATGGTCTTTGGTTGATTCAAACAGATGTTTAAATAATTCGAAAACCGCTTTCAAACAACTTTTTCAAGTACAATTGAAAAACAAAACAAATGAAAACCCTCGCGGTGGGCTCCAGATGAGAAGACTGTGACACGCGGGAGTGAGAATAGTGCAATCGAACGCGCTGACAAGATGCGTGAACACCTAAACAACACACACACACAAACACCTTAAACACTTATCACCACAGGTACGTGCTCGGTACTTCGAGTTCGGGTTCGTACGGTAAACAGAATTACCACACTTGTTTTGTAAGAACTTAAGTAGAAGTTCGGGGAAACGTTTTTGTATATTTTATATCACTTGTCTAAGTCTAGTAGACCTTTTCGGAACAAAAGGTATTGTTTTACGTGCGGACACAGTGTAGAATTCGAAACTTTAGTAGTCTTTGAAGGGAAACGGCTTTTATTGGGACTGTCTCAGTGTTCTGGGATTGCGCTCTAACTGTATACGAAGAAATGACAAGGAAATTGTGCTTTGTAGACTTTTTATAACTCCCTTGAGTTTTTATTATGCCTCTGATGCGGTCCAAACTAGTCTTAAAGACTCCTCAAGCACGCTCACTTGGATTCCTCGGTAATAGTAGAGAGCTCTCTTACTAATTGACGAGACAACCTTACAAAAGCTTTGTGATCCCCACTTAACACACTGGTTCCGGGCACACGTTACTTATGTCTGCGAAGAAAAGTCCTTAAATTGATTACAAACTTATCCACTACCTCAGATGCTACTGGGAGTGCGACAGCTGGTCAACGCGGGGGATAATTCCTTGCGTTTCAGCCTGCGCGCGTCCTCTTTTTATACTATTCTATGTCTTCTATTTATATTTATATGTCCGTGCTTTGTCCGAGAGGTCGGACGAATTAATACTGAATTTTTAGTAAAGGTTTGAAGTGGCTCGATTGTGCGTGGCACAACTGAGCTGACTTCTTTTAAGTTTTCGTAGTGTTTTCTCTATTGTGGCGACGCGACGCATCAGTATTGATGCGTACACGGGAATCGCCGTAAACGGTTTTCACGATCGGTTCAGCCGAGACGAACGGTCCGCTTAGTGATTTTCTCTCTATTATTAGATACTATGCCCGGGCCTCGGACCGCACGGCAAATCGTTCATAGTTTTTCTCTTTTGGCAGGCTTCGGAATATTTCACGAAGCTTAGTTTTCTTGGGTCAATGATGCCATGATTTGTGATGTGTTGATGCGCGTGATGCGCGTGATGCGCGTGATGCGTCTCTCCACATGACTTCTTGGATCATGCTTCGTAGCACGTGACCGAATGACTTCTCGCGTCGGGTACGCGTCGAGTTTCTACGCTCGCGCGTTTATCTTTTTAGAATTAATATCTTTTAATCCATAATAAAGTGAGACCCTGGTTTGGTGTAAACTCCAACACCCTGTGCGGGGGTGTTTTTACTCTAGAACACTCGGTAGCGTACTATTTCATGGTAGTGTAGCCTTTTATTAGACTTCGAGTGTATTGAGGTGATTCGGTCACGAACCGACCGCAATTCCTACTGTCTAAGGCGTGCACATTTCTCGGATGTAAACTTTAATCGACTAGACCGGGTTGCGTCTAACGATCCTTATGATCAATGTGACTGTATTTCTACTATAGGAGGTTTTATAGGAGAAATCGCTAAAATTCGCATTTTTACGGGTGTATTGTTACACTCCGTATCAATGTGGCCATTGACTATGGGGGAACATGGACGGCGAGGATGGTGTGATCTACGTCGAGGCCATGGATTGTGTGACCTTCCCTGTAAAGTTCCGGTGAATTTGGATATCCATGGGCCAAATGGATGTGAGTCGTACCTGATTCTCCAACGCCTCTTTCTTTGGCGCAACCTCTCCGAGAAATTTCCTCACTGAACGTACGTCTTCCCACAAATCGGCAAGTTTGAGGACGGTCGTGGACAATTCGCGACTGTTGCGTATCGTAATAAGAGGGCGCGAAATGAGGGCGACGACAACTGCAAGATCGAATTCCTACCACACGCGTGAGCCAAGCAACATCGAACTTGAGCTTGAGCTTGAATGCCTCATTCGCGGGGGGGTTTGAAGCGCGCCCCGTCCCCTGAGCTAAAAGTTATGTCGCAATTGGCTGGGGAAACGGTCTGGCAGGCCCAAATTCTGTTGTCGCTCTCGAGCGTGTATTTACTGGGAGTTGATCGGAGGGAGGCAAAGGTGGTGTTCTTGCAGTCGAAGAAGGTTTCGGAAGGGGACAACAACTTGGACGATGTTGTGGAAGTTGGGCAAAGTTCCCGTTTCGTAGAACAGCAATAACACTTGAGACGGGTTGACCAGGAACAAAGTCCTGAGATGATGGAGGCTGAGGTGGCGACTAGGCAGGAAGTTGATATGGGTTGTACGGTGGGACATAAGATGGTACACGGCGGATGGTAACGTGAACCAAAAGGTCGTTTGCTATGAACTGCAAACGCGGCCGTTGAATATGGGAGAACATCGACAGCGAGGATGGTTCGACCTACGTCGACGCCATGGATTGTGCGTGGCGTCTTTCTTTGGCGCAACAGTCGTGCACAATTCGCGGCAAGATTAGGAAGAGAAGGGAGAGTTCGAAGGAGTGCAGCTCGGATGCTGCGGATGTCCTGTAAAAAGGCGGTTCTGTGGAGTCTGGGAGCGGAAAAGGGAGGGGGACCGGCGTGGGCAGAATTTTTATTAAAGGGTCCATGGGACTTTGTAATGAGTCAGTTACATAACGTTGGGAAAAGAACGGACGGACATACTTTCGATAATCTGGTGTAAATAGAAAATGAGCAAAATGATGAGGAAGAGGTTCTTGATATGGTCTCGCAACTTGTACCACCCGCGTGAGCCACACGACATCGAGCTTGAACTTGAGCTTGAATGCCTCATTCGCGAGGGGCTTTGAAGCGTGCCCAGTCCGAAGGTGTTGATCTTGAGGTGCAGGCGTCGACATGGGACTCGACTTCTCCTTCCCCTGCTCTGGACTGACGATAACTTGAGGAAGCGTCTCATCCTCATCCTGACAGGAACGGCGCACGGTCAGGCGGTGGTGGGAGTCATAATGGATGCATGCCAGCTGGAGGTCGAGGATTTCATCGAGAGACGCCATTGGGGAATCGATGCACATGGGAAGCAGACAGGTGTATGACTTGCCCGCGGAACTGTGCGCGCTTGGTAGTGGTAAGAAGCGGTAACAACACTCTTCAATATTCAACGACGACCACACAAAACTTCGCGTGGAGGGCTTGTTTCTGATTCTTGAGTTTGCGAACAAAGCAGGCCTGTAGTTTCCATCGTTAAAAGGCAAAGGGAACCTGGTAATAAAATTGCGCACCCTCTGTTCTATTCCGCTCCACTCTCGCATCATTTGTGCTGGACTGTTGCGCCCGCCCGGGTTTTACGATCCTACAGATGGTATGTGTTAGGAAGAGAACAAAGTTTAGGTCAATAAGAAGTCTACCTGTGATACCCCCACGCATTGAAACACAACATGTCGAAACATAAAGACAACAAACAAGAATAACTTGAACAAGTAAAGTACAGTGGAGTCTCTGGCCAAGCGCGTTGCTTGCCATGATCCACCGCTGTTGGGTATCCAGCCTCACAAATTAATGCGTAGCACAGATACGTTCCACATGCCCAGCCTCACTATACGTGGAGCTTATGACACTGGCAAAGCGTCGTCGTCATGGTTGTAATGGTAGAGTGAAAGAGATTCGGAATTTTTCCTTTTAACGTTGATCACATGATCGTCCTGTACTGCTTACGTAGTTGATAATCAATGACAAACCATAGTAATGGGTGGGCTGATGAACGTGTCTCCAAGAACGACGGATGGTTTAAGCTTTAGAATTTCACCAGTTCACAATGACTTCGAGTGATTACTATCTGATATACATGTTTGTGCTGTTGCCCCTTCAATATCTCCATTGTTTTCATCATTCTCCCAAGATTCTGTCCAATGGTGACTCTGTCTTGACTATTGGGACGAATCTACGGGTTTGTACATTGGAGTCAGTAAAAAACTGAATTGGGAGTCCACTTGCTCATCATATAAATTCTAACAATCGAACTTTGAGAGGCCCGCCACGGGGTAAACCGCCGTCCAAAATTCCTCAGCATTCTTGATGACCCGAGTTTTGAAGATGACTGGCCCAGCAATGAAGGGTAGTTCTATCACACATTCCGTATCAACCCCATATTCCTGAAAAGCAATGAAAGACCGCAGCGCCGGGAAAATGGCAGGTTTAAGCCATGGAACAACATGATCGACCTTGACTGGGTTGCCACTGGCGGCTTGTACTATCAAATAGATCTCCTCAACCCTTGGACAACAGTGCGGTGGTCGCTGAAAATCGTTTCTATTTACGCTCCCGATTATTACACGCAAGGTGTTAAGCTTGTTCCCTTCCGCTAACATCCGGAAGCGTTCCGAATCTAGACCCCACTTCAGTAAGTCGTTCATGACAATGACATTTTGACGCACAGGCAAAATAAAACACTTCGATTCCTTTGCCGCAAACATCGAGAAGTTTTTCAATAGGCGCATGGAACGAATGGTCGTGGACCATAGTAAGAGTAGATAGATCAATTACCGGGTTCCCATTTGACCATGTCGCGGTGAGCAATTGATCCAAAACATAAAAGGAGGAGGAACCGATGGAAAGCCTTTCGAGACGACAGACAGGCGAAAAGGGAGATAACGCGAAAGGCGTTACATTTGTGTCGTCAAGGCCTAGTGCTCCAATCTGCAGTTGACGAAGATTGCAACAGTTTGCAAAGAGAGACAATGGCCAGGAGCGAAGGTGGGTTAGCGCCAGACATTCAAGTCTTTCAGAACTGAGCAATCTGATCAATTGCGTTCGTAAGCCTTCATGCATAAAATTCCAAACGGAGCCCTTTTCGGTGCCGTCACCGGTAATGTGAAGACTTCGCAGTTGAGAGAATTGTTGAAGAAGCAAGACATAGATGCGGGCCTCGACTTCTCCATCTGTGTAATAATGAAGGTAAAGCACGTAGGTGGCAAGACGGGGACTCCTCGCCAAAATGGAGTCAAGTTGTGAAATTGTAGTTCGATGAATAGCTATGGTGTCAAACAGCTGTCGTTGACACGGTTCCACCAGAGCTTTGCACGTTCTGGAAAGTGAACGGATTGATTCCCAGTCGGATTTTAATGTGAGAACAAGCAGGATAGCATGAATGACATCGAAGGGCACCTCATAGGTCATCGTTCAAACGGAAACCTGGAATGGCATTGTCTCGCCTGAGCAATGCGAGTCGGAGAGATTCTGGTTCTTAGCAAATGAAAGGGGAAAGTTGGCTTGTTACGTCACAGCTACTAAATCGACATAGGCAGTGCTGTTCAAGCAAATGTGGTACACAAATTCACCTGCTCCTGCCAAGGACAACCCTCCTTATCGCAAACCGCACCAATAGTCCACGCATACGAATGGAAATCACCCAAGGCTGACACCCCAATTCCCCGCCAACAGACAAGGCCTATTCTTCGCAATCCACGGAATTGTCTTGAAAGGACAGGACAAAGGTCTCCACAGGGTTCCTTCAAATCACTTGGTGACGTGTACAACACAAACCCGCGGTCTCGAACGAGAGCCTTTGCAGCGTCGTTCATTCCCTCAGCTCCCCAGAAGGCGCAAGACTTATGATTCGGCGTGAGGCTTGGATAGAGGCAACAAATGTCGTTGGCTGTGACGAAGTTCATAGAGCCTGTATGCAACGAGGCGAAGACAACAGAAAGAAAAGAGTCCTTGTGAACGCTTTCCGATACTGAAACGTTGGACGCCCCATTCGAATATAGGCTAAAGCTCGCAACGTCGGAGATAGGGTATTGATCATCAACGCCTGTGTCCACCAGCTCGTAGCCTCGTTTCATGAAAAAGCTAGACATGGCGCATAGACGTCCCAGGGGAACGACGATGTTTAGATCCCTTGGGATCCAAACATTGTCACGAACTGGCACGATCATCTTCAACGCGACCGATCCAACAATCGCTCCATTTACGCTGGACAAGTCGTCATAAAACGAAGCAAGCGACTCTGAATAAACAGCTAATTTATCACAAATCGCACGAAGCCACATCGCAACATACCTCTCTCAATATAAATCGACAACATGTGCTCCAACTTGAACTGTAAGTATTGCTTCACTGCTTCGCGTGCGCATAATCCACAAGAGGCAAACTTGGTGAGTGTCCGGCAACTGCAATAATCAAACACCATATGGCGAAAGTCGACGCCGGTTGTGAAGAGCATATGAAACTTGTATGAAACCCACTGGCACCAACCTCCTGTGTGACCTGTTGCCATTTCCCCTAGGATACCACTCGTCTTCTGGTGACAATCAATGAACCAGCTACTGGCCGACAAACTCGTCAATGCAGGGAAGGTAACAAACTCGTGAAGCATTTAGTCAATAAAGGTTGATCTCCATCACATTCAGATGTCTCCCAGACTTATAGAAGGCGTCCTTTTCGACACTGCCGACATAAAAGACGTGCTTTATGTCCCGGTGCCCTTTAATCCAGGCGTCATATCACCTACTTCCATTGACGATTGCATGATCCATTACTGGGTACCCCACACGCAGCATAAAAACCGGAGTCTCCGGCTGGACTTGTACCGAACGACTATTCAGGTCATGATCGGGGACGCAATTGCCGCATACACGATGCACTTCACGGATCAAACTATGGGGTTTCCCGTCAACAAATGTGTCCATGAAATGAGAAAAAACAGTGTTTATAGCAAGTGGACGGGTCCAATTCTTGTCATTAAATCTGATCACGAGGGACGACCGGTTCCATGCAAAGGAAAAGATAGCCTGTACATCCCTGATGCTATCGAACAGTAAGTGTTCGCACAACGGTTTTTCAGTGGCCCTTACTTATGAATCCATAGATTTTTTAATCTGGTAGAAACAGAATCGCCATATAAAAATGGCAGGAACGCAGCGTAAATATAAAAAAGGTAGTAACGCTAGCATGTATCTCCAATAGCAATCGTTGGCGTACACGTATGAACCCTCGGAGCTGGGCATGTTTAAAAGCTATGGATTCGCAACCCCTCAATGCCTGCAGGCAAGCTGCATGTGAATGGATAAAAATATGAACTGTTTCACAGGTTTAAGTTTAAAAAAAACTACCCCTCTCCGAGATGAACCTCATGTAAGTGAGACAACCACATTACTCAACAGCCACCTCATCCATGGACTATGAAGTACCTTTTGATATCATTGACGTGATTTTGGACGACCTCACCTACAACTCTGATTGGGAATCGATCCGCTCTCTCTCCCTAACGTGCAAAGAACTAATCAAACCATGCCAAAAGCGGCTGTTTAGCACAGTGCCCATCCATCCCTTAGTGGCCTCACAGCTGGCTTCCGTTCTCACCGAACGCCCACATCTGATCTCCTACGTTCTGCACCTTCATTACTGCTACATAGATGGAGAGAGCGACACTCGCACCGACATCTTGTTACTCGGGAAATTTGATCAACTTCAGAGTCTTCACATCGTTGGTGACAGGACGGACAGAGGCACAGCTTGGGATATTATGGCCCAAGACTTAAAAGTGGAACTCATACGATTGCTCAGGTGTCCAAAACTGGAATATTTATTGCTAACATGCGTTCTCCATTGGCCGGTATCCCTTTTTGGCAATTGCCCCAACCTCCGCCGACTGAAAATCGGAACTGTTGGCCTCGACGACACCGACTTAACAACATTCACCACACCCCCCTTTCCAACTGCTTGCAAGCCAAAAGGGCTTTCTATTGGCACCGCCGCGTTCTACGCTCTCGAGGAACTCCTCGCTGCACGATGGCCAGATGGGAAACCTGTTGTTGACCTGTCTCTGCTAACCATTCTCCATGATCACTCAATCCATACACCCATCGAAGAACTCATAAAAATTTGTGGCGGCCGGATTGAAATACTCTATTTTGCTTGTATGCTAAACCTCTTTTTCCCTCATCCAATTTCCAACTGGCTTTAGACTTAGATCGCTTCCGAATGTTAGCCAACTCCAACGAATTCAAGGCATTGCGCGTGATAATTGGAAAGGCACATTGGAATGACCTTCGACGCCCCCCAAAGTGTTCTTCAAACGTTGAAGAGATTTACTTGATGATCCTTGAACCGGCGAATGGCAAAGCAATCAATATCGAGCATGTCATCTCATGGCTCAACCCCACACTCTTCCCAGCACTACGATCTTTCACTACCTTTCAAGAATCCGGCGCGAATTCTGAAGTCGTGCTCCCACTGCCCTTTGTCAATGGGCCTGCCCTGTTCAAAACACGGGGCGTGAAAGACATTGAAGAATTTGAAGCTCTAGTTTCTTCTACTACAGGATTTTCTTACTTTGATCCTTAGCCACCGTCAAATGTAGAGGAGCCGATACTGGCCCTCAGCACAGTGTCATAAAAGCCAACAGCACAGTTAATAATATCCGCCGCCAAGGCAATAATGCTATCACGTGAGCACGGTGCACCTACATCTGTCGTGACAGACGACAGGCCATGACCAACCTCCTTTGTGTTCATAATTGGGTTGAACATGCACAATGCTCTACAACAAACGTTCATGTCGTATGCAAATTATCCCAATTGAATGCTCCGTCATTTAATGTAAGCAAATCATCACAAGTGAACGCTCATGTTGTCATTTAATGTTTTTTTGGACTCCTCGACAGTGCAGACCAGTTCCCGACCTCATCACGTTATGACGTCTTTCTTCTCCTATTCTACACATACTTCAAACTGCCGCCCTCTAACAGTGTTCTACACCACTATGACCATGTCCCCATCAAATCGAACTACAAATGCCATTGTACGATTTTCGGCCAGATCCTTTATGTCCACCGATCCAGTAAGTAAATCAAGCCAATCCAACCACCAGCTAAATTAACTCCCAACAGAGTACACGTCTATGTACCTACCGAAATGTAGGCCTAATCGGAACGGGATGTACGGTGACCCACATTGTTCCTGTCGCCATTTACGATTCACCAGCGCTTCGAACGACGTTTGACGACTTCAACGTCCGGCCGTGGCTCACGCTCGACACAGATTACAACGACTGGGTTGAAGGACAAGACTATGACGTATACTCACATTTTACGTCTGATGACAACGTGCCTATCGGCGTTCGATACATCATCCTACATGAGCCTCAGGACACAACAGCCTCACCCGCGAACGAATACATTCACGCTTTAATGGACAACAACATCGACGCCATGCCGTGGTTGGGCAATCTCCTAATTTTTAAAACAGACTGGGGGATGGAAGTCACCAATATTGAAGATGAAGACTTGCCCCTCATCAAACGGCTCGCAACTCTGTACGTCACCCACTGCTCAACTCAATTGTAAATTGACCAACGTCTTCTACAGCCACGTCCTGAAGGGACGAACACCGTAGGATTTTCATGTTGGCTGGCATGTAACCCGTTTAAATAAATTCCGAATCTATTTTGTACTACAACCTAAACAATGACGGCGTTTTCACCGTGCACATGAAGCTAATGAACCTTAAGCGATGCATGATAAGATTTTCAATAACATGCTCACCGCGCCAAAATAAATCCGGAATGGATAAAGTCGTCAATCGCGCAATTCATCGGCTGACCTGCTGCGTTAATTCTGAAAACCAAAACCGCTCCCTTCCACAAACTGTAGTGATCCCTGCCTATCTCTTGCAGCCCGTAATTATGGGGAAAGCCCGCCGTTTGATCAGAGAAATGAACTGAAAAAACTTCTAAGTTGTCACCCTCGCCCACTTCAACTCGTAACTTGTACCTCCCCAGATTCTCCCAAAAGTCGTCGTCCGATTTCGAATGAACCCAATATGATGTAAAGAGGTCATCAACAGAAGACGGCTCTGCAACCCCGGCACGAAAAGGAACAGGCACCAACATTGCAGCATAATCGGCACCAACTTCAAACAACATGCCCCATCTAACCCCATCATCAAACTGAAAGTCCGATAACCCTCTGAATGTAACGCAAAGAACAAGATGTTGCTCACCTTGCCCGCGTTGTAAAGCCTCAACGTATTGGCGTAATTGACGGTAAAATGGCTAGTCATCTTATAGGAGAACCAGACCCTCATGCTACAAAGCGTTAAATACCACGATTCCCGCTCTATGAGACCTATCTGCTTACAAACTTACAACGCCCGACACCACGTCGAAAAGGAGGACCTCAGATATTCCCTCTAGAATCCTGACCCTATCTGTTCCCAAACGTACGCCTCGATGAACGAAGCAGACGTGCCCCACACCTCCTTCACCAAATTCTTTCTCCGACTTGGCCAGGACTTAAAAATCACCATTTTCGAATTGTGCCCTATGGACTTTATCGCTCGATTTAGCCACGTCAACCGAGAATGCAGATCTTCCGTCCAGTTTTATCTCCGAGAACGCCTCACCCACTTCCTCTTACCCTTCATTCCAAACGGTGAACTGAACCACCACTTCCCCACGATCTCTTTGACTTACAATCAAATAACAGAACATCTTCCAATGTTCACTAAAATTGTCACCCAGACGAACTGCGCAATCATCGGCTCCCTGGCGCTCAAAGTTCTCCTGACTGGCTATGCAACCTCCTGGAGCCCACGAGACCTAAACATCGCAACTCCTCGAAATGGAACAAAATTGCTCATTGCTTTCCTGCACAACATCAATTACAACCTTCACAGCCACTCCTTAGACCCTACCACGGCCACCGGAACCGTTAGACATTCAACGTACCGCAACTCAAACGGAAAAAGCATCACCATCACCGAAAGCAGGGAAACGGATTCATTTCTCGGGGTAGTTATGGGGACAAATCACACGGCCTCAATGAATTTTATATCAAGCAAACACTTTGTTTCGCTTTATCCTATCCAGACTTTGCAGCAACACACCACCTATGTGTATCGCTATCCACTTGATACCAACTCAGTCACCACGTTAGGTATTAGGGGTTACACGATCATAACCGATGTCCTCAATCATCCCAAAATCTGTTGCCCAGCCACTCAATGTCAACTCGAAACTTTAAAAGGAATCGGACACATCCAGTGGAGCATGACAAAGACACCTCATGTTTTGCAACCACACAGCTATTCCTGGCGATTGGGTGATATGTGTCTCAATGCGACTTGTTCTGGGAAACCGCTAAAGGGCCGTCTCGTCAGGAGAGCGTCAATCTGTGAAGACCATTCCGACGCAGAAGACGACAATAATTGATACACATTCAAGACTCTCAGTGACCACAGCACCAAACCGAACACTGTGATTTATCAATATTGTACTATACCTTCAAATTTGTAAACAATAGCATTATTGACATTGGTCTCTGCCATTATTGGGATTGGTCGCCGCACTTTACATAATCGCCGTAGCGGGCTTTGCGCCCGAAGGCGCGCTGCAGTGGTTATCCCCTAGCCTCGCTACCAGTTCGTTCGGTGGTGATCACACTGTGTTTGTTCCATGTTGTGGCTTTGTTGTGGCTTCAAACATCAGGCGGAGAGTGAAAGGCAAGATCACCACCGAAGGACTGGGCGGAACGGAGCCAGATTTGTCGAGGTCCCAATGTGTGACATGACACTTAGTGAAATTTCGTGTTTTGCGCCAGAACGTCGAAATAAGTTGGCAACACTTTCAAAAAAAAGTGCTCGAGGCACATAATTTAACGGAATGTGTTCATAAAAATAATGTGAATGACATAGATTTCAAAAACCAAAAAAAAATGGAGCCCTTCGGAACTTGGCAGTGTCTAAGAATTTGGTGGAGGTGGCGGCGGAGGATTTCTAGGATACAGATGAGGGTAGAATAGTGGGTTTGGTGGTTGACGAGAAGAAGAAGACGAGGGGGTATTAGTGGGATAATAATAAGAAATAGGGAAGTGAAAACTTGGCGGTGTGCGCTGCATTTGAGGTAAATGATAATGATTGGGCTGGGGAGTTGCAAGCGCCGCATATGGATTATTGGCTAACGGACTCGAAGACATCGTTGTTGGAAGTTGAGCATGATGATATGGAAAGGGAGGTGGCATTGGAGTCGATGGCGCTGGTAATGTGTGACGAGAACTTGAGGGTCCGGGCCGTGGATTGACAGGTGTGGGAGGTACTTCCATAAATTTCGAGGTGCGTCGTCGTTTTGGCTGATCTTCTTTCACCCCACTCGCATCTCCATCTCCAGGCTGTGATGCACGCTTTTCACCTCTTGCTGCCCACGGTTTCGGCGGTTTATGCTGTTTAGGTCCGACATCCAAGCTCTTGAACAGGTTCAGAAGCTTGTCGCCGTACCGACCAAACCATGCCCAATATCCGCCCAACGCAATTTCGAGATCGATAAGCCTTTCAATATTTCCAAACGACGAAAGCGATTCCACGGCCGTATCGGAAAGAATGGCGGAGGGCCCAAAAAGTGAGTCTCCGAAATCGTGAGTCCAGATTTCTTTGCGCCATTTGACGATTGCTTTCTTTAGTTGCTTGTCGACGATTCCTGGAGTAACGTTCTTCTTGCGAGAAGTCCGTGACGGAGGGGCAGGCCTGGTGTGATTGAGTAATGCTGGGCTACAGAGATCGCAACAAGCAACAGTCGGCTCTATGGGATTTCGAGCCTGTAAGTTTCCGATTGATAGATTGCTTCGAAAAGACTTACGAGGTATTTCATTTCCATAGATTTCCGTCAATACCTTGCGCCTACAGTCCATGCTCTGCACTAGCATGTGCAGACCCTCGTCAATCGCAAGCTGGTCCAGTGGCACCTCAATTCTGGCAGGAATTTCGTCTGAGGCCCCACCGAATGCACCACGCAACACACCGTGGTTCACAGCATAGTCCTTGTCCTTTGATTTTGCATAGTTTGTTGGCTCTCGTACGTTCGCTTTCTTTGTTTTAGGCTTTCCTTTTGTTTTACCTTGGGGATCTGTTAGATCAACGTCGTACGCTGACTTCTCGACAAGAAGCACCACAAGTCCGCTTCTTCCATATCCTCGCGCAGCCCTACCGGCCCTTTGAACGAATGAAGAAACACTTGAAGGAAGTTTCCACTGGACCACAATGTCGATATCGGATATGTTACATCCCTGGTACGTCAAGATCGCTGAGCGGCGAACTTTAGTAATGGACTCACCATTCCCGCAGCATCGGTACATATCAAGATTCGAATATGACCAGCCTTGAAGAGCACCATCACCTCTCGCCGGTATTTTACCGAGAACGCTGCACTGTAAGTCCTGATAATTCCTGCTTCGCAAAATCCCTCAGGTGCTATGTCATACAGGTGTTCCATCATGTCACTGCCTGCGGTAATGTTATCGGCATATACGAAGCATTTTTTTATGTCGTTGACCTCACGGATATCCCTTGGGATCAGGAAGTCAAGATCACTGTAGCTGCTGATTGTGTTTTGGATGGCGCAGACCACGAGAGAGACGTTGGGCCTGTCATTGCCGAGGTTTAGGTATGTGTAGTTTTGTTCGTCAAATTGCAGCTTCTTTAACACGTCTTGCCAAACGCGAGCTGGTAATGTCGCTGACATGGCCACCATCGGCGTGTCCTTCGGCAGCAAGGCACGTAGTATCCCCAGGGTGCCATACTTCTTTCGGAAACCGGACCCCCAGTGCGACACAACGTGGGCTTCATCAACCACAATCGAGAGTATGCGGCTGCGCATCTCTGGATTCCGCAAGACGTTCTTTATGAACCGCTTGGAGAGCAACATTTCCGGTGAGATAACGACGATCTGCCACTTGCCGCTGCACACATCCTTGTTGTTGATTAGTTATAGTAGAATGCATGGCACGGTTTCGTACCGCCATTATTTCTTTTGTACAGCCCCCATGCGCACTGTTTATTGCGATAGCAGTAAGTTTGAATTCATTGCGAAAGTTTTCTGCCTGGGTAGACATGTCATCAACCAAACATGTATTTCGCTGACAGCTAACCTGTTCTTCTTGTAGCGCGATCAGCGGCGATACCATGAAGGTTACCATACCTTTCGTCGCCTCATGGGCATGAGGTCCAGCTGCAACAAATGTTTTCCCTGACCCCGTACCGGCATGGATAAGAACATCTTTTCGCAGTAGCTGGGCCT